CTTCCCCCAAAGGCTATGGAGGGAGGGAGGTGTTTCTGAACTTATTTACTGTGTTTATTTATGTCATAGGGATTGAACCCAGAGCCTTTGCCCCCACCTCTTTAATTTTTTTTGTTTTGAGAAAGGGTCTCGCTGAGTAGCTAAGTCACCCAGGCTTGGCTCACACTCGATCCTCCTGCCTCAGCATGTGTGCTTTTGATGAGACTGGCTCTAGATGTGGAGTGGGCCACCAGGGTGCCTTCTAATGCCTTCCATTCTGGAGTGAAAACAAAACCATTATTTTCCAGAAGATGAGACAGACGTCAGTTGGCACAGGCAGCCTGGCAGGTCTGACCCGGGCCTCCCAGCAGGAAACACCCTGCAGTGTGCAGCCAGCCCTCGGGGCTCATGTTCATCAGTGCTTGAGTCAGTCTTATTAGTTTGTCTCTTCTGTATGAAAAAGCACACTCCCTGTCGCCGAGGCCCTGCCCTTACTGAATGGTTGCACACTCTGTGGGCAGCACGTCCAGCTGGCTCCTGTCCCAACCCGCCACGAGGAAGAACGGAGATACAATTCCTCTCATCTCCCCGAGGGCACATGCTGCATGGCGAACAAACAAGCAGGCTTGATGAAGTGTACGACAGCTTGTCATCCGGCAGTTAGTGGTCTTGTTTCCCTTCCTGGGATAACACTGGATTTCATACAGATCACATCAATAAGAGAAAGCCTCATTCCTAACAGCTAGTTTCTGAAGAACATATGTTTCTGCTCAATTTTTGCACCTTTATTGCTGCATGTGACATTGCAATACTTCCTTGCGCCTAACAGGCCAGATTCCACTCATCTGTCTAATATCTAATTCAAGTCAAAGTCAGCGAAGCAAGCCAATTCCTGGCCTATTTGTAATTTTTTCCACACATTATTCTCACTGATTCTCTTGTGCTACAGTTTGTTTTTTTTCCCAGGAACTAATATCTTTAAGAAATGCTGATATAGTTGCAGATATCGGCTTTCTTTTCTGTTTTTCTCTTTGATGGAACTCACACTTTGGGGTCCTAATGAAACAAATTTTGTCAGCATAAATAGTGTATTTTTTTATATGTTCTACAAAGCAGGGGAATATATCTGCTATTAACTCCATAAACATAAAGCTCATTCCTTGGAAATCTGTATCCTTCTGGATAAAGTTGGTTAAATTCACACTTAAAAATTCTCGCTCAAAATTCTAGATCCTCAGATCAACAAGCATGGAGTCACCCTGGGGATCCAAGCCAGGGTTTCATTGTTCCCTTTCAACCCATTTCACAAAAACGTCAGACCCATTTCATAACCACTGCTACTGGCTTCATGAGAGCCACTTTACCCATCTCCAAGCATCTGCTCTTGTCCCTGTCCCTCCAGGTCTAATTGTAACATACTGGTCAAAGTGATCCTTTTAACCATGAGTCAAATTACTTGCTCTGTCATAGGCAATAGTCTAAGAGGCCCAAGTTTTCTGCTCCCTGAAATATATTCCTTCTCCTAGAGTGTGGACAAGAAGTGCCAATAGAATAGTGCCAGTGGATGTCACTCTATCCATCAGGTTGTTAATCAGCTGACTTTGAGTTCACCAAAGGGGAGAGCACTGGGTGAGCCTGACCTAGTCAGGTGAGCCCTTAAAGGAATGAGATCTTCTGATGAACTCTGAAGGAGACCACATGGCAAGGACCTGAGAGTGACAGGAAGAAGCTGAGGGTGGTGACCAGCTGACAGCTAGCAAGACACTGGGACCTCAGCCTTCAGGCACAAGGGAAATAATTCTGCTAACAATCTGAGTGAATGTGGCAGGGGACCTTTCCCTACTGTAGCCATGGGATTGAGGACATGGCAGCCAACATCGTAATTTCAGCTCTATGTGACCCTAAGAGAGGACCCAGCTAAAACATGCAGGCCATAAACTCTAGAATGACACGCGTGAACTGTTGAAGCTGCTGGGTTTGTGATCACTCATTACAGGGTGTGATGATCAATCTTGGCTGTCAACTTGATTGGCTTGAGAGCCACCCAGGGGATTGGGAAAGCACATTTCTGTGTGTGCCTGGGGTGGGACATGGTGGCATGATCTTGAGGATTCTATCTGGTCCCTTCCTCTTGGACTCTTCTCTGCTCTCTGCATCCTAGATGCCATGAGTTGACCCTGTTTTCTTCTACTATGCCCTTTTACCATGAGGTTTCCACAATGGAGCCAGCTGATTGTGACCTGAATCATCTGAGACTGTGAGCCAAAATAAATCTCTTCTTCTTTAACTTGCAAGTGGCTGGTCATTTGTTCCAACAATACAAAGGTGACTAATACAATCCCATCAAGAGCAGGGTTGTTGCTGTGACTATACCTTGTTCAGAACCCTTTTGCAGGAGGAGTTTGGGAAAGTTTAGAGATGCAGATTAGAGAAGTCCCAGAAGGCTGTTAGTAAATCTTGACAGATGATTCTGGTGTAAGCTTCACAAATCAGAGTGCTGATAGGAAGGCAAATAGTAAAGATTGTGCCCATGAGGTTTCAGATAGGAACAAAGACTGATTGGGAATTATACTAGAGGCTATTCATGTTGTATTCTGGCAAAGAAGTTTACATTTTCTTCATGTCCTTACACTTTGTGGGAGTCTGAGTTTAAAGGTGAAAGACTAGTCTGGCAGAGGAAATTTCAAGGCAGTACCACATTCAGGCTGTGGCATGGGTACTACTGTAAACTTTTAGCCAGATTTATAATGAGAATTGGGAGCAAAAAACACAGAAAAATTTGAAAAACTTACTAAGATATATTATGTACAGGTAAAACTCCCCATGATGATTGTAATCATTATATATGTCAAAAGTGCGCTAATAAAATTAATTTTTAAAAACTTAGTTTGGTTAGAAAAAAAGCACATGTGAATTTGAAGCCAAAGAAGTTGTGGTTGGTGAAAAGATCAGCATTGTCAAAAAGAAGTTAAGTACTTTGCATTGAGACGATAGGAAAGACAACTTAAGAGCATCTCGCAATTTAGGAAGACCCAACTTATCAAAGGCTCAAGTATGTAAAAGTGCAAACTTCTTTGAAAGACTTTGTTTTGAGTAGAAAGCCTTAGGACACCATGGTCACTCAGGGGCTCCTTAGGAAGTCTTTGCCCCTGTTCACTCATCCAGACACTGAGAGGCTGCTGTGGCCATAGCCCAAGGGCACTCAGCTATTGCTCAACCTGGCAGCAGACCTGGGCATCATCCACGTGATGCTGATTTTGTAGGCATGGAGAATGTAACAGTTATGGGCTCATGGAGGCTTCTACCCAGATTTCAATGGAAGACCTGAGAGGCCAAGCAATGTGTGACAGGGTTAAAGTCTCTGCTGCGAGCCTCTAGAGGACAATGTGTTAACCTATGAGTGTGACACTGAAGGTACAATGGGGGCCCCAGGAAGTTGGAGATGCCTGGAACATGGAACGTCTGCAAGAAAATCTGAGTGGAGCCAGTCCAAGAAAGAGGCCATGTGCGATGCAATCAGCAAGACCGTAAGGAAAGGGCCCCCTAGCCGCCTAGAACTCCCATCACTGCCGTGCGCCCCAGATGCTGGACATGGAGCTACAGAACTTAATGTTTGCCCTGCTGGGTTTCAATCTTGCTTTTGTCTTTCTATTCCCCTCACTCCTCCTTTTTGGAATGGGAATGTCAGTACCATGTGCCATTTTACCTAGGGAATTTGTAATTGGGTCTTGAATTTTATTGGGGTTCACAGCTAAGAGTTTGCCCTGAGTCTTAGAGGGGACCATGGACTTGATCTTTTGAACAATGCTGGAAAGGTTGAGACTTCAGAGAAGAAATCAGTGCATTTTTCAGTTGTATGCAGGATAGTTACATCATGGTAGGTGAGATTATGGCCTTCATAATTTCCATAGAGATGAAGTATGGTGCATTTGAGTGTCAAGATGATCAAGAGTGGACTTGTGATGGTTAATCTTGGTTGAATTGAAAGTCACTAGTGGATTAGTAAATCACACTTC